GTGCGATTGGCACAGGACAGAGCAGAGTTTAGGGCTGTTGTACATAGGGTCGCTATGAGTCGCAAGCGACTCGATGGCACATAACAACAATAACAAGGTGGGGATACACAGAAGCATAAGCTTCTCAGTCAGCCCTCCTTCCAGGATTTGCATCTTGGGCCCCTTTCATTGCCCTCTCTTCTTCACGATTCTTACCTAAAGGGAAGCAGTCTCTGTCTGAGGGCAGGTGATCCATTCCCCACTGCTCCTCTGCTTGCTCAGTCTTGGTAACTGGATCTGGTTTAGACAGAAAGGCTTTGGCTAGAGAGTTGGAATGAGAGAGGTGAGTTGGTCTAGGTTTGGCCCCTTCACAACCTACAAAGATTAAACCAAAAAACACTCAAAATCATACCCCTTGTGTTAGAACCAAGTCATAGCTGCCCCTTTAGCAGGTTTTCAGAGGCTACACTGGTGGCGTTAGTGGCAAGAATCTGTGTTGCTATCTCAAAGGCAATTCAAGGCCACCAGCCACAGAGGAGAAGGATGGGAAATTGGCTTCTGAAACCCCCCTAGAGGGTCAGCTAGGGGTCAGTTCTGGCTCAAAGGTACACCACCACCACCACCACTAACACCACCAAATAGTCCAGGAAGAGATTGCTCATCTTTGGATTCAAACCACCAGAGAAACACCACTCTCCAGTTAGTAGCACAACTCCTTAGGGACTATAGGCAAACTTTTATAGCCTTTGTTTAAGAACCATAATCTAGTAAATGCAGACACAGAGAAAGATAAGTGCCTGAAGTAAAGGAGTGGCTCAGTAAATACTGCTTAGAGGAAGAGCTTCAAGGTAAATCTCTCTAGTCTGGGAATATTGCATCTTGATTCGTTTGTTTTCAAATATTTGCTTTCATACAGGCTTCCATTCTTTCCTGTACCTCTAAATTTAGTGACCCGGACTTTCCATACCTGGAAGGTTTAGAGCCAAGGATTAGTGAAGCTCACAATGAGCTGATTCATATGCCCAGAGAAACCAGATGCCTCAGGGTCTTGGGACAAACAGTTTACAAAGGGAACTCCAGTTTCTTACCTACATACTCTAGATTCCTGAAGGTCTCCAACATAACATCCCAGTAAAGGGCCCTCTGGTTATCATCTAGACAGTTCCACTCTTCTTGGGTGAAGTTTACTGTTACATCATCAAAGGCAACTGGCTTCTAGAATAGGAGGGACTCGGGGAGTCAAGGAGAAATGTATACCGCTATGCATCCAGTCTCAGTATTTAGAAAATGGAAATATAAGGGGTGAAAAAAAAATGGAAGACAAATATAAAAAATATGGGCATAAGGGGGGGAAGGGGAAGGGGGAGGGGTTTATGCGGGGAGAAGGGTGCAACAATGAATGAATGGAATCCCAAAATCTCTGTAGATGTTCATTGAAATGAAAAATAAACAACCTAAATTAAAAAAAAATATGGGCAAAGAGAAAAACAAAAGCACAAAAGCAAGAACTAGGAGAAAACTGATACAAAGCCAGCAACTCTAAGATAAGGAAGATAAAGGAAGATGTAGGGAGAAAAGCAGATGCTGAAGATAAGAAAAGCAAAGGGGAAAAGGTTAATGCTCTGTCTGATGGGTGCCGGGATGACTGGTGGGGAGGGAAGAGGTCTTGCAGCCCTTTCTCTGAGTGTTTTGAGAGTCTATCTGACTTGAAGTAGGAGGAGGATGGGTGAAAGAGCTCACGCATTCCAGGGGCCTGGTTCCCACCCTCTCTCTGGTTGTTCTCACCGGTGCCATCCACAAGTACTCTTTCTTCAAGGCTTCCTGAAGGGATGCTGCCATCTTGTCCGTCTGAAAGAGCTGCTTCTGTATAGGTTGCACTGACCTCAACTGACCCAATATCTCTTTCATGGGGTCTCTTTCTAGCTTTGTCCGATCCCAACTGGGCCCCTGGGTGGGACATTCTACCTCCCTTGTAACTGAGCAGCTGGGGAAACCACACAGAGTTCCTAGATGTTGATGTGGCTTCCTCTGGACAATGAATTGACTTCAAGGGTTTGTCTTCGGTTTCTATATAAATGTCCAAATTCATCTCTTTCTCAGCTTTGAAAGGCTGTGCCAAAGTCACAGCCATAGGATTGAGAGTCCTGGTCATTTTTGGCTCAGGTGTCATTGTCCAGCAATGTCAGTTTGGATCTAAGAAAGCATCTGCTTGTTCCCTCTGATTCTAACCACTGGCTGATATCCAGTCAGGAATCTGAGAGAGAAACAAAACATATTAGCAAGAGAGAAAGTGAGAAGCAGGTTTGCTTCTTTGATCAGAGAAGATCAAATGCTATTAAAGTGATGCTTTGTACCCTTGGATCCTCTCAGCACGATTACTCTGGGAGGTAACAGTTATTGTTCCCATTTTAAGGAAAGTTGGACAACGATTAAGGACAAGAGAAGAACTGATGCCTATGAGTTGTGGTGTTGGAGAAGAGTACTGAATATCCCATGAGATCAAGCAAGTCTGTAATGGACAAAGTGAAACCAGGTTGCTCTTTGGAAGCAAGGATGGTGAAACTCCATCTCACATCATTTGGGCATGTTGTTCGGAGAGGCCAATCCTTGGAGAAGGTCATCATGCTTGGAAAGGTAGAGGGTCACCACAACAAGATGGATTGACATGACTGTAACGATGGTCTTGAGTGTGTTAGAGATGGTAAAGATGGATGTCTTAAGATAAAGTTGTTCATAGGGCAACTATGAGTCATACTCAACTCAGTGGCACCTAACAACAACAATAAAGTACAGAGATGCTACGTAACTTGTTCCAGGATACCCATGGCCACAGGAGAGTTAGCATTCAAACACCAGACCCAGTATTATTAAAGACATCATTTCCACTGCTCAGTGCTCTGTGCAGGGCAGCAGTGTCTGATGGTAACCAGCCCTGAATTATCATAAATCACCTTGGGCCTGTCTCTTCATCCTGTCTGACTTGGTTTTATTAGAAAAATGAAAATAATGGAGATACCTTTTAGGATGAAAAAGAATATATGATTCTGTGGCAAATTTCTAATATTTACAACTTTGCAAAGAATAATTGTGATAATCTGCCAGCACACACTTATTCAGGGCTCACAATGAATTGGGTCCTAGGATTTTCTGCCCTTTCTTGAGACATTACTCATTCACTGCCATCTATCTAGTCAGGTCCAACTCATAAGGACTCTCAGGTTTCTGAGACTATAAATCATAAAGGTAGGAGACCATCCATCTTTCTTCCTCAGAGTCTCTGGAGATGCATCACCTCTCCTCTGGATTAGCAGTGCAACTATGGATGGCACCACCAGAGTTTTCCTGAGGAATAGTCAAACCTCTTCCTACTGGCAGCCACATACTTCATGTCTCCTTGAGACAGAACAAAAAAGCTTAAAGATAGAAAACCTGCTCACAGTTTGGTTTTTTTCCTACTAGGAAGGAAAAGGGTATTTGATGGTATTAACTACCAGTTTAACTACCATCATAAAAGCCACATTCCTTGGATTCAAAGTTCCTTCTTCTCTTTCCCCACCCCCTTTTTTTCCTTTTTTTTATTGTGAAAAACATGTATGGGGATACAAGGAAGTGAGGGTTGGGAACAGAAGGGTAAGGATGGGCAGGGATGAAATTGCAGGGATGCAGTTGCAGGGCTGCACAATTTGGTGGGTGGGGGGAGTAGGTAAAGGGAATGAGAAAGATCCAGTGGGGACCAGATGATACAGGGAAATGTGGGTTTCTCATTTGGGAATGGGGCACAGACTCTCTGGCTTCTTCATGCTGAACAGGGGCACTGATGTGAAGTGGGAAAGGAAGCACACTTTATCACCTTACTGGTGGTCCTGGGTTAACGCTGCTTGCCTTCTTGTTCTGTTAGAAGATATTTTCCTGATATTTACTCCCCTCTGTACTGCAAAGTGTTTTCTACGGTGGGTTCAGTGGGGATGGCTGACTGAGCTCTGAGCCTCCATCCTCCTTTGCTTCCTTAGCTGGCAGTTGTATTTCCTTTTTGTCTCTGGCACTGGGTTCAGGGTCAGGTCTGGAGTTAAACTCATTGTTAAGCTTACCTATAGGAAAGGGAGCAAACCTAGAGAGAACAAACTTGTGAGTTACAAATAGAAGGGATCTAGAGGTGTTATTTATGGGTGTACTGGGGGAGAAGGTGGAGGAAAGTAGCCTAGATAAAATTCTCTGTATACCCTAGGCAATTTTTCCCAGCCACCTGAAGGCTCTACCCAGGGGTCGGATGGTATAACCCGAGGGCCGAAGAGCTCACCCCGAGGACCAAATGGCTCACCTCAAGGGCCAAACGGTTCACCCTGAGGGCCACCTCACCCCAAGGGCCAGCTCACCCTGAGGGCCGCCATTTTCCCTTTTAAGATTACATTTCACTCAGTGAAGTATTCTCCCTCCAGCTTACTCTTCTAACGGCTGTCAATCAATGCTGATTCAAAGTGACTCTCATGTTAGAGTAGAACAGCAACAAATATTAAAGGGATAATTGAGATGAACATATTATAATAATGTTATTAAGTACTATCGCATTAAATCCAACTCATAGCGACCCTATCAACAACAGACCTGGACCCTATCCTGTGCCATCCTCACCATCTCTGATACTATTGAGCCTATTGCTGCAGTAACAATGTCAATCCATCTTGATGAGGGTCTTCTCAGATCTTCCACACTTTAAAGCATGATTTCCTTTTCCAAAAAATAGCTTCTCCTAGAAACATGTCAAAGGTGATCTAACTGAATGTGGAAATTATTGAACAATATCATTAATAGCACGTGCAAGCAAAACATTACATAATATCATCAAAAAACAAATGTATCGAGAGGGAACTTCCAAAAGTTCAAGCTGGATTTAGAAGAGGCTGTGGCCCCAGTGATATTATTGCTGATGTTAAATAGATGCTGGCTGAAAGCAAAGAAGAATGTCTGTCTGTGTTTTATTGACTGTGCAAAGGCATCTAATTATGTGGGTCACAACAAACTACAACTAACATTGAGAAGAATGGGAATCCCAGAACACATTTTGCTCATACAAAATCTATTCCTAGACCAAGAAGCTAAAGTTCAAATGGAATATGGAACTGTATATAAAAAAGGGTGTGCATCAGGGGAATATTCTTTCTGGAATATATATTCAATCTGTAGGGTGGCCTACTGGTAAGAAACTGTGCTGCAATCTCAAAGCACAAGGTTAAAATCTACCAGCTGTGGTATATTCACACAATGGAATACTATGCTGCATTGAAAACCAAGGAACTCATGCAATATTATTCAAAATGGGTGACCCTGGAGGATATTATGCTGAGTTAAGTATCTCAGTCACAAAAGGACAAATACTGCATAGTGTCACTGTTGTAGAATGGGACGGACATCGGGGTTGGGAAGAGACTGAGAAAAAATTGGATAAATTATGTATGTTGTTGTTAAGTGTTGTCGAGTCGCAGGAAACTCATAGTGACCCTATGAAGGAGAGCCCTCAATGCTTGGGTGCCTTTCATCCTCTCTCAAGGTTCATAGAGTTTCTGGAGGCAAGCTATTATGGAAGTGGATGCCACTCCTCCTTGCAAATTAAGTATACTGCATTGAAACAGATGAGGGAGAGAACAGTCCCAAAGCGATATGTTATTGGGTATTACGATTATGATAAGAGTCCAGAATGAAGGCTGCATAGTGTAGTGTACCGGGGGGGCGGGGGGTAGTGGTGGAGGGTGCACGGAATTGTATACCAATGAATGAATTTTTCTTTTACTTTTCAAGGAGAGGAACAAACTGCAGGGAGTGGGCAGGGGGAAAAGTGCAACAATGAATAAATGGAAATCCAAAATCTCTGTAAATGTTCATTAAAATAAAAACCAAATACATAACTTTTTAAAAAATAAATATTTATAGCTTTGGAAACCTAAAAATAAAAAATCTACCAGCGGGCCCACAGGAGAAGGATGGACAATCTCTTTTTGTGCAATTTACTGTCTCTGAAAACCCACTGGAGGGTCAGCTATGGGTTGGTTCCAACTCAATGGTACACAACAATAACTCAATCTATGTGGAACAGATCATTTAGGAGGCTGAACTTTATTATGAAGAATGTGGCATCAGGATTGGCGGAAGACTCTTCAACAAACTGTTATGCAGATGACACAACCTTGCCTGCCAAAACTGAAGAGGACATGAAGCATTTGCTGCAGAGTGTCAAGGACTGTAGTCTTCAATAAGGATTGAAGTTCAACATCAAGAAGACAAAGATTCTCACCACTGGGCTAATTGACAGCACCATGATAGATGGAGAAGAGATTGATGTTGTTAACAATTTCAGCTTGCTCAGTTCCACAATCAACACTCTTGGCACCAACTATTAGGAAATCAGAAGACTAATTGAATTACATAAGTCTGCTGTCAGGGACCTCTCCAAAGTGCTAAAGAGCAAAGATGTCAGTCTAGAGACTAGGGTTGTACCAGATCCAGGCCATCATCTTCACAATTATTTGCTATGCATTAGAGAGCTGGACAATGACTAAAGATGACAGAATTATTGATGCCTTTGAGTTATGGTGCTGGAGAAGGGTATTGAATATACCATAGATTGCCAAGAGAATAAACAGGTCTGTCCTGGAGAAGAGGAAACCAAGCCGTTCCTTAGAGGCAAGGATTTTCAAGCTCTGTCTCACGTACTTTGGGCCAGGAGGGACCATTCCATGGAGAAGGACATCATGCTTGGAAGGGTGGAAGGACAGTGCAGGAAAAGAAGATCCTAGGTGAGGTGGACTGACACAGTATGTGTAATGGGGTAATGAGGGAAAGGTGTGTCAAGAGACAGTGAGAATGGCTCAAAATAGGGCAGGAGTCAGAGCTACTGTACATAGAGCTGCTATGAGTTGCAGGTGATTTGATGGCACATACAACAATAACAATTCAATCTCGATGCTGAGCAAATAATTCACGAAGCCAGACCCTATGAAGAACGCGGCATCAGAATCATTAGAGGAAGACTCATCAATAACTTGCACTATGCAGGTGAATTATTATAAACAGCACAGTCAAACTTACACTTTTTCTTGCAATTGAAACCCACTAGCTGCTCTTTGAGAGCAAGATAGAAAATCTCCTCCCATGTGACTTACTGTCTCTGAAAACCAGCTGGAGGGTCATCTATGGGTCAGATCCAATTCAAATGTGCACAACAATGGATACAAGATAGAGCTTTGGTGGTCTAGCCCACAGGGAGTTACATTGCCTCAGAAAGACAATTGATGGTCAGCTATGAGTTGCTCCAATTGGACAGTAATGAGTTTTTTAAAGGACACAATGACCTCAAAAAAGCTAATTGCTGTTAAGTCAGAACTGACTCACACCTGACCTTTCAGCAGGTTTTCAGAGACTGTAAATCACACAGGAGGAGATTGCCCATCTTTCTCCCAGAGAATCACAAGGAGATTGAAATAGGAAGAGAGATGCCACCTTTGGGTTAGTATTACAACTCCCTGTGGACTATGCCTCCAGAGTTCTCTAGGACACACTATCAGCCTTGTTACTAGTCTAAGACTAATATCTTTTTAGTAACAAATGAATACCCTTTTGTTGTCCTTTCCCATCTGTTCCTACAGGAGTTACTGCTACTCCCTTTAAGTCATAACATGAGAATAGTACCAACCATTTCTAGAAAAAGGCCAGATCAACTAGTCTAAAACACAGCTACAGAGGAAACTCTTCATGGATAAGAGAAGGTACTGTTATAAACAATCCACATTCCAAGATGTGTCCCTCCCTTAATCCAAGCCCAGGAACCTGATGTGCTGAGGGTCTTTTCTTTCACTGACCCTCTACCTTTTCCAGCATTAATGTTGTTATGTATGGTCCATTTTTAAAGGCAGTAAATTGCAAAGGAGATGGCCCATCTTTTTTCTGTGGAGCAGCTGATAGATTTGCATCACCTACCTTTGTGTTGGCAGCACAATTCCATACCATTAAGCCATCAGAGCTCCCTAGCCCTGCCTGATAACATGCCCCAAATATGTGCAATGAAGTTTCATTCTTGCCTCTTGGGTCACCCTGGTTGTATTTTCTCCAATGCAAATTTTTTGTTCTTTGGCTAGCCACAGTATATTCAGTACTCCTCTCCAATACCACAACTCAGAGGAACCAATTCTGCTTCAGTCTTCCTTATTTGTTGTCCAATTTCCAAATACGTAAAAAGCAACTGAAAATACCATGACTTGCCTTCTATCTGTCAGTTGTCTTTATGTCATTTGGGGAAGAGGAATAGTATAGCTTTGGAGGCACTAGGCCCTGGTGACAGCATAGTGACAGCTTCATGACAGAAAGTAGCAGAGCCAAGGCATACTATAAGCTTTTAAAGCCAAGGTTTAAGAAATCAGATTTCCTTTGTGAATCCTTTTTTATAGTCAACCTTCCCGCCTGCAGATGTAAAAGTACAAGCGGCCACTTTTTAACTCTAAAGCCCACCTCTGTGCATACGTCTATTTTTATGGAGAGGTGGCTCATGCTGACTCAGCTCTGTGCCCACAGTCAGCACAGGGAGCAGAAGCAAGCAGCCCTCGGGAGTTCTCTACTACACGGCCTTCTCTAGCAGGATCTGGGCTACAGGGTGTGATGTGGGAAGGGGACCTCCAAGCTCTTCTCAGTTGGTTCTGTGCTTCATGTTTCCTTGCTAATTTTTTTTAAAAATTGATTTATTTACTTATTTATTTTTTAATTTAGTGTACTGTCAAATTGGATCCAACTGGCACAGTAGGAATTTGCCCCTCCTTCTTCAGCAGAGCATCTGGTGGATTGGAATCGCACATCTTTTAGGACTGCAGTGCAGCTTCTTGCCACTAGGTCACCAGAGCTCCTCCTTGCTAATTTTTTTAAAAAGCAGGCATGGAGGTTCTTTGTGTCAGTCTGCCAGGTCCACATTTTTTTCTAAATTTGCGTTTTGAAAATGTTCTATTTATTTACATTTGTACAGAGTGATTTTTTTTAGACTAAATATTTTAAAAAAAACAATACAATGACTTGGATTAGCTGACTTTAGTATTTAAACTGACATATTTGTTCTTTAGTACTTCGGAGAAGTCTCTGGGAGCAGATTTTCCAAATGCAACAAGTCCTTTGATTTCTTGACTACTGCTACCATGGATATTGATTGTGGATCCCAACAAAATGAAGTTTTTGAAACTTCAATCTTTTCCCCACTTATCATGATGTTGCCAATTGATCCAGTGGTGAAGATTTTTGTTTTCAGGATGTTGAGATGTAATTCATGTTGAAGATTGTAGTCTTTGAACCTCTGCAGAAAGTGCTTTAAGTCTTTTTCACTTTCTGCAAACAAGGCTGTGTCACTGCATAACACAGA